GATGCCACATCCTTTCTTGGTTAACTTATTCTCTAGCCCTTTTGGGTTTTGAGATATTCCCGCTTTCAATACAGTGCATCCCACTATTTGTCTCTAGGTGAAAAAGTCCCTCTATCATATTAGCATGAGAGATAATACGACCGTTCAAGTATAAAGTGCAACTCATTTTGTCAAACAATACTGAGTGCCCGTCTCGTAAAAGCTTATAGATAGAAATCAAATTCTTTATACATGAAGGAAAATATAAACAATTTTTAAGTTCCAGGACTTCCCCAGAGGGTAGTTTAAGAATGTAAGTGCCTCTTGCTTTTGCAGAGATTTTAGTGTCGTTCCCAACTAGCACAACCATCTCCCCATTGCGCAGTGACCTGCTCCCTGCTAGTCCCTGCATCGTATTACAGATATGTTGACTAGCGCCTGAATCAAATATCCAGGAATTGGAGCTCACTGTAAAAGCACTCTCTATGACTGAAATAGCCTCTTCAAAAGTTCGTGTCATAAGGCTCACAATGCGCACCCTGTATTTCTTCTTCCAACGTTCATCCTTTCCACAATGAAAGCATGTTCCTTTGGATTTTATTGCCTTCTTCTTATGCAACCTTTTCCTTGTTATTGCATTCTCACTCCCACTGCCCTTTTTGAAACCCTTTTCAAACTTACAACACATGTCAATCATCTCGGTTGAAGTATGATCGAATCTATTCACTTTATAGTTTACAATAAACTTAGTGAAATCGTCTAAGAGAGATGCAAAGAAAAAGTCTTGGGCCATTTTCCCATCGATGGAAGTTCCTAAACTTTCAAGATCTTTTCCATCTTTTGTCCATGTTTATGGACCGATGTCCCCTTTGCCATTTTGGCATTCATTAGACTACAAACATTTGAGAATCGTATATTACTAGTCTCAATGTCATGCATCTTATGCAAACTTTCAACCATGGCACAAGAAGTGTCCATGTGCTTATGTAGCTTTATAAGCTCCTCACTAAGTGAAGTGAGGATTAAGCATTTGGTTTGTAAGTCATCCTCATAGTGTCTAGCATAATCTTGACACTCATCCTTTGAAGCTAGTTTCGTAGGAGGTACATGAGGAGGGGATTGCTTAAGCACATACAATGTCTTTCACCTTTGAGACATTCTCAATGTGGCGATACTAAGCAAGGAAACGTTGGCCCCTAAGGTCCCTTTTGTCAAGTATAATGGTGGGTATTATTTTAGGCATGTCGTTAACTACATAACATAACAGAAATCGTATTAGATTATTGATTTTAAAACTATTTGATTAGGTTTTAAATCAAATAGTACCACCCACTATTTTCGGTAAATTCCACATCCCTCAATGGAATTCGAGAGTTATGTTGAACTCTTAGCGGGGTATGGGAGGCTCACCATTACCAAGCCCACCTCAGAAGAATATCATATTGGCTACCAATAATAATGATGAGAGGATAACGCTTTAGCCATTTACAACTTTTTGTAATTACCCATCTAGTTTGGCCTCTAGAAAATGATGCCTCAGAAGAATATCATATTGGCACCATTGCACTTAGTTAAGTCATTCCCACCATGCTAGTTCAAGTAGGGGTTCAAGAATGGCCTCAGAAGAATATCATATTGACCATACTCGTTGCCTACCTTCACTTCATCATATGTTTATAGGCTTCTCCTGAATGTAAGCACATACTTTGCATACCCCAGAACTGGACGAATACGGTGTATGAGTCACAAACAATTGAAGCCCACCATGGTGGAAGGCCTACGAAGAGATGTTCAAAGCATCTCTCGCTTATCAACTTAATATTCGTTTTATTGAGGGAGTAGTGTTGGGCTACATCAAAAACATTTTAATCTTATTAAAAGAACTTGGGCCTATTGATAGGGATTTTTACTACTCATGTGAATGCGATAAAAACCTTCTATTTTACTTGCAAGAATCACAAGGTTATTGTAGTATAAACGGATCTCGCAAGGTCATTCTCCACAGGGATTATTAAATAATTCGAAACAAATCAGATTTTAATTAATGATTGTAAAGTAGAAATTTGGATGATTGATTTTATAACCTACTTAAAGTAAAAACGAATTTAATGAATTAAAATAGATAATCTGCAATATTAAAGCTAGAGAGAAAAGAAAACAGTTTTTAGAAAAATCAAATTAAGAAAGCACTAGGGTTCCACCATCACCTAGCAATCCTATGAATTTTTACCCATTACTTATGATCTACACATGCCACTTTGAAGGTTAGATTTTCTAATTCATATTCTACTTGGAACCTCCAATATAGAACGTATATCTAACATGCAACCCGTCCGGACGTTCGGATCAAATCTAAACATGAAAGACTCATTATGCTTTATGAAAATCCTTTGAAAAACCATGCAATCCTTAAGACGTGATATTCATCCTAAAAGAAATTACAATTATTAATCACAAGAAGCCAGCGTCAATTTCAGGGAACCTTCCGACCAAAATTGCATCAAATTACTTTTCTAAAGATCCTAATGGTGATCAGGCATTACGACAATTAGATAGTGTTTATCCCGGTGATTAACAATTCAAAGTCCGCATGCAATCAATCATAAGAAATTAAATAAAAATCACATATTCATGCTAAGGCTCAAGGCTTCGCCCTAGCAATAGAAATTAGTTCCGCATATTCATAACTGAAATCGTAGAAATATCTATTAAGAAAAGGATTGAAAACACCTTCAAGTAGAAAATCTTCAAAATCCTAGCACTTCTCTCTGTCTCCAATATTGCATAAAATAATGCGTCATCAAAAACTGTAGACGGCTAAGCAATATATTTGCTAAGCCACCACCCAAACCCTAGCCAACTAAAATTAATAAAAAACCCTAAATAAAAATAGTAAAATTCGTCTAAAATCTGAACAGCCACGTTTTGGCCCATAAGCTGCTCCAAAACTGGCCCAATATAGCTGGATTTGATGTTTGGAATATTCTGAACACTTTTTCAGAAGGCCACGAACCCATCCGAGGTCATCTTGGGCTCCAAAAACGTCATTTAAGCCCAAAAACGTCATTTTCCAGCACTGCGCACTGCTTCTTTATTTCATCGCCAGAAAATAACCGTTTGGTGGAAAAATCCCAAATTTTGATACGATCAAGCTAAGTGACTCACGAACGTCCTCCAACTGGAATTACTCCAAAATTCGTCCATTTGATCCTGTTTTGCTCCAGAGGAAGTCGAAAGTCCTATATTGAAAATACAATTCAAAGTATCAAAATTCTTCTAAAATATTAACCAAAATATACTAAGATTAGGGTAAAATATATAATATAAAATCTACTCATCAAATACCCCCAAACTTAGCTTTTTGCTTGTCCTCAAGCAAAACAAAACTCAAACAAAATAAAAACTTAATAAACTAGACAACTAGCTAAAATTAACTGACAAAAATTTTCACCTTCAAAGTTGCAATCCATAGCAAATTTAAAAACTAGAACATCTTTTCAAAAGTTCCAACTAATCCCACCACAAAGTCTAAGCCATTTAGAATCAATTAGAAAAGAATTCACAAACTTCCTTTGGTGTAAAGTGAACCAACATAATTAAGGGGACTCGACTAAAACCCTTACCTCTCGTCCTTATTTATTTCACACATACTAACTTTAAATATAACTCTCTTTCTTTTTCTTTTTTTTTTCTTTTTCAATTTTTTTTTTCTCTTTTTTTTTTTTCATGTATATAACATTTTTTTTTTTCAGTAACAGTAGTGGTCGTGCAATGTCGGTTCACTTAAGCTTTCAATCCAACCCATGTAGCGAGCTTTAGGTCAATGACTCCCAAACCACTAGGGCTTTAGGGCACTAGGTGTAGAACACCCCTAAGGACTTATTAACCCAAGCTGAAAAGGCTACGAAACCAACTAACCACCCTGCCCCATGCCAAAGCTCTACCGTTTGACGCGAGAATCACTGCTGATTAGGCAGGACTGGCCCGGTTACTAGGCAAAACCTCGGGTGAGACAATTATTACTTTTTTCACAATAATAACTGACTTTACTTAAAACAAAAATTAAAAATAAACTTAGACTAAAAGCAAGTGTTTCAATCTCACTCCCCACAAACCATGTTGGTGTGATGTGCAAAGTTCAAAGTATAATTCATGAATTAGTGTCTAAGCAACGATAAATAGAAAAGACTCTAATGTGGGATTAATCTTTACCATGTCCATTTGTTCTAACGTTTAAAATAATCTATGGATATTAACTTAGCACGAATGAAAATTTTTAAACGGACACAATAATAAAAAAACTAAAATTTACTTTCCCACCCCCAAACTTATTTCACACTTTGTCCTCAAGGTGTGGAAACTAAAATAAAAAATGACAAAAATAAAATAAACTTAAACTAACAAATAATAATTATAACAAGGAAAAGTAGTAACAAGAACCAAAGAAAAAGAAAAAAAAACTACCTGGCTTTGGAAGTGACGTTGTGGTTGATATAAGTGTGGCCAAATAAAAGCCACACAAAGCCCATGCAATGAAAATCTCCAACTTGCACGCCTGCTGTACACCATATTTGAAATCAGCAGGCCATCACGTGGCTTCCATCAGGGCCTTGCATTGAGAAGAGCATGCTAGGAGACGTGGCCTCCTATATGGCCTGGGAAATGAAAAGGTTCCGCGTGCAACTTGAATTTTTTTTTTTTTTTTTTTTTTTTTCTGGTTGACCTCGAGCACCACGCCCTCCTACTCTCTGCGTTTGATTAAACCAAGAGCCAAACGGCTCTTTCTTTGCCTAGTTCAAGACCACGTTCTCGGACAGACAAGAAAAATGCCAGAATTGGACACGTGTCGCGCATCCGTGCGACCACTTCTTAGGATTCCAACTAAAAGGTTAAGATCAACCCACTTGCCCATATCTCTCTCTTCCTTGCAGATCTGAAAATGCTTTCTCTCCATTTCACAGCAAGCCCTTCTATTATTTTTTTTTTTTAGTTCTCTCGGACCCCATTTTATCTCTCTACTTTCTTTTTATTTCACAACTCTCTCTCTCTTCTCTCAGACCCCATTGCTCTCTAAAATGAAAAAGAGCTCTCCTTCTTTCACATTTTTCTCTCATTTCCTTACTCCTCCTCACCCTTAGCCGCGCAACCACACACACTTTCCTCTGCAAAAATCCGAACACAGCCTTACCACAGAGGTAAACATTGTCCATTTGTGCGTCTCATATACTCCACACTGCATGTGTAGACTGATGTGGTATTTTGTTTATGTGCACAGGTTCTCGATCTGGAAGTTTAGCCATGACAAAGAAAACGCAAACCAGCTACAACCTTGCAGATCTGGTTCCTGCAAAAGGTAAAAATCTTGTACTCCGTAGGTTAATGACAAAAAAAATAGCTTCATCACATATGCATATAATTATAATGGTGTGGTATGTGTGCACAACACTCAGATCTGTGACAGACCCGAGAAAGAACTCTCAAACTGAAAATCCACTGGACATAAAGCATGGCCCATCATGAAGGTTTTGATCTTTCGACTATGAAGGTATAAACTCATCCCTGTTCTTGGTTAAATGTCATGATTTATTTCGTCCATGGAACTTAGAAAAATGATAACAAAAAACCATATGTATATGCGGGTTTGAACATGAATCGAACGAACAACATACTGATTAACATGATATGATGAAAGTGAACTTGAAGTGCGGGAGACTGATGAACAAATATCAACACTAATAAGACCTTAAGAAAATATGACTTTCACAAGCTTGTGTGTTTTAAGTGATACATAACCTGGATCATGAAAATCAAATTGTCATTAGTCTTCTTGTTGTGAACTGTTCAGGAAATGTGGTCACTGATAGATCCGTGGGAAATAAAGTGGACGGCGAGACCTCAGCTGCAATAGACAAAAACGGGACAAGCTTCTAAGAACCCAGATCGGTGAATCTGGGAGGTAAAATTTCATATCCTTGCAAGTGGAATTGTTGTAGATCTGGTAATAATAGCTGTACTCAGTTCTGTGGTGTATGGATCTGTGATTTAATTGTGCTTCCTCCATGCATCGCACAACTGAGCTGCAGAAAATTAACTGCTCTAAACTCTGTTTCTGTGCTGGATCTGCAACAATCTCCCCCAAACTTGTATCTGTGAATGACTTGTTAACTGCTTTAAATTTCCAGCATAGTGTAGATATGGTTGATGTGAACGTTAGACTTGCTGCTGGGTGCAGGATTCCAGCATAGGACGCGCTTTATTTTCCACGTTCGCAACCTGCAATTAACCAATATGTGTTAAAAATTTGAAAATAAAAATAAAAATAAAATGGGTAAATAAAATCAACTTGCAATCTTCCATTTTTTTGAATTTTTCGTTTTTTTTTTTTTTTTTTTTGAATTATTTTTATATGTATGTTTTTTTATTTTTTTATTAAAGAGAATCAAACGAAAATTAAAATTAGGAAAGAGTTTAGGAGAATTGGGTTGCCTCCCAAATAAGCGCTTTATTTTAAGTCTGTAGCTAGACGTTGCGGAAGTCCGGTGGCTAGATCACTGGTGCCTTCAGAGTCAAAGATTCGTATGCAGTATCAAAGGGTGACTCCACGTATGGTTTCAGCCTGTGACCATTCACCTTGAATGTGTTGCCTTGAGCCTCATTAGATATTTCAACTGCCCCATGAGGAAAGATTTTAGTAACCAAATACGGCCCAGTCCAGCGAGATTTTAATTTCCCTGGAAACAACTTTAGCCTTGAACTGAATAGCAACACCTTTTGCCCTGGCTGAAATTCTTTCCGTAAAATTTGACTATCGTGAAACGCCTTAGTTCTTTCCTTGTAGATGCGAGAACTTTCATAAGCACCCAGACGAATTTTCTCCAACTCATTGAGCTGCAATTTACGTTGTTCCCCAGCTGAGTCATATGAAAAATTTAACTCTTTAATTGCCCAGAATGCCTTATGCTCAAGCTCCATAGGTAGATGACATGCTTTCCCATAAACGAGTCGAAATGGTGACATCCCAATAGGAGTTTTAAAAGCTGTCCTGTAGGCCCACAATGCATCATTTAATTTTAAACTCCAATCTTTTCGTGTTGAACCAACTGTTTTCTCCAAAATGCGTTTTAATTCTCTGTTTGAAACTTCCACTTGACCAGATGTCTGTGGATGATAAGGTGTAGCCACACGATGATTAATCCCATATTTTGCCAATAAATTAGCAAATGATTTATTAATAAAGTGCTTTCCCCCATCACTAAGAATAACGCGTGGAATTCCAAAACGCGGAAATATAACCCCTTGGAGGAATCTCAGGACCACTGATCCCTGATTAGTTGGTGCTGCTATGGCCTCGACCCACTTAGAAACATACTCCACAGCGACTAAAATATATTGATTCCCATGGGAAGATGGAAATGGTCCCATGAAATCAATACCCCACACATCAAATAATTCAACAATCAAAATACTTTGCTGGGGCATCTCATTCCTTTTGGACTGGTTGCCGACCCTTTGACACCTATCACAAGCCTTGCACCAATTATATGCATCTTTAAAAAGTGTAGGCCAAAATAACCCACTTTGCAAAATTTTTTCTGCCGTTCTTTTCTGCCCAAAATGTCCTCCACAAGCAAAATGATGAGCAAACCTTAATACACTTTCTTGTTCGGCTTCAGGAATACATCTGCGAATAATCTGGTCTGGGCAATACTTAAATAGGTATGGCTCATCCCAGAAATAATGCTTCACATCAGATAAAAACTTCTTTTTCTACTGAATAGTTAAATCTGGATGCACTACCCCTTTAACCAAATAATTAACCATATCAGCAAACCATGTTGTACAGAATTGGACTGCAAATAGCTGTTCATCTGGAAAACTATCCCTCAGTGGTAGGGAATCCTCTTCTGAAGCTGTTGGAATAATCAATCTGGACAAGTGGTCAGCCACCACATTTTCACTGCCCTTTTTATCTTTGATTTCTAAGTCAAACTCTTGCAATAAAAGAATCCAACGAATCAATCGAGGCTTAGCATCTTTTTTAGTCAACAAATATTTCAAAGCTGCATGATCTGTATAAACAATCACTCTAGCCCCAACTAAATACGAACGAAATTTTTCCAAAGCAAAAACAATTGCCAACAATTCCTTCTCTGTTGTCGCATAATTTAGTTGTGCATCATTGAGGGTTCGACTAGCATAATAAATAACTTGGGGAAGTCTATCTTTCCGCTGTCCAAGAACTGCCCCCACTGCACAATCTGATGCGTCACACATCAGTTCAAAAGGTAGGCTCCAATCAGGAGCTGCAATAATGGGTGTTGTAGTGAGGAGAGTCTTTAACTTCTTGAAGGCCTCCAAACAAGCCTCATCAAAAATAAAAGGAGCATCTTTCGCCAACAAAAATTACACAAGGGTCGGCTAATCTTGGAGAAATCCTTGATGAACCGTCTATAAAACCCAGCATGGCCAAGAAAAGATCGAACACTCTTAACAGTTGTCGGGGGTGGCATCTTTTCAATTGCATCAATTTTAGCCCTATCAACTTCAATACCCCTGTTAGAAAATCAAGTGGCCCAAGACAATACCCTGCCTAACCATGAAGTGACACTTTTCCCAGTTTAAAACCAGGTTGGTCTTAATGCATCTTTCCAGAACTAGAGATAAATTCTGCAAACATTGGTCAAAAGAATCCCCAAAAACAGAAAAGTCATCCATAAATACCTCAACTACATGTTCAACTAACCCGGTAAATATGCTCATCATGCAACGTTGAAATGTGGCAGGTGCATTGCACAAACCAAAAGGCATTCTTCTATATGCGAAAGTCCCAAAAGGACAAGTAAAGGTTGTCTTTTCTTGATCCTCAGGGGCAACTGGAATCTGGTTGTACCCTGAATAGCCATCCAAGAAACAGTAGAAAGCACGACCAGCCAACCTTTCCAACATTTGATCAATAAATGGTAATGGAAAATGATCTTTTCTAGTACCAGCGTTGATTTTTCTATAATCAACACACACACGCCACCCTGTAGTCAAACGAGTAGGCACGAGTTCATTATTATCATTTTTCACAACTGTAATACCAGAACGCTTTGGCACCACTTGAATTGGACTAATCCACTTACTATCTGAAATGGGATAGATCATCCCAGCATCCAAAAGCTTCATAATTTCATTACGAACAACTTCTTTCATAATTGGATTCAACCGACGTTGAGCGTCAATGGCAGGTTTTACTCCATCCTTCATCAAAATTTTGTGCATACAAATTGTAGGGCTGATCCCTTTAATGTCAGCTATAGTCCAGCCAATTGCATCTTGATGACTCCTTAAAATGCGCAACAATTTATCTTCCTCTGTTGATGATAAATCAGCAGCTATAATAACTGGCAGCGAAGAATCTGCACCCAAGTAAGCATATTTCAAGTGTTCTGGAAGCACCTTTAACTCCAGTTTAGGTGACTGTACCTTAGAAGGCTGCAAGAGCTTTTTGGGTTCCCCCAAACTCTCAAAAACGTGCCTCCAACGTGGAGGTTGAAAAGGAACGCTTTCCAAAGCATAAACATACTCAAAACCCTCTTCATCTTCTGTATTTTTATTCTCAAACCCATGCAACACATTTAACAATGGATCAGATGTCAAACGTGGCATAATTTCAGCATGTAATAAACTGTCAAGCACATCAACACGCATACAGTCATGCACATCACCTGGCCTTTTGGTAGCTTCAAATAAACCGAACACAACAGATTGATCTTGCACTCTAAGTGTAAGTGTCCCAGCCTCTACATCAATTAACGTTCTAGCTGTAGCCATGAAGGGACGTCCCAAAATAATCGGTGTTTGCATATCTTCATCCATATCCAAAATCACAAAATCTGCAGGAAGGTAGAGATTATCCACTTTAATAATTAGGTCTTCTATAATACCCCTTGGATAAGCAACTGAACGGTCCGCAAGTTGTAGAATAACTGATGTAGGCTTGATTTCTCCTTGTCCTAGTCTCTGAAAAACAGAAAAAGGCATTAAGTTAATACTAGCGCCTAAATCAATTAAAGCACGTTTAAAATGAGAACTTCCAATTGTGCATGAAATTGTAAAACTCCCTGGATCTTGTTTCTTTGGGGGCAATTTGTGAAGCAGAACAGCGCTGCACTGTTCTGTAAGAATCACTTTCTCAAAATCCACAAGCTTCTTTTTCTTTGTGCAAACATCCTTCAAAAACTTGGCATAAGACGGAATGTTTTTGATAGCATCAATTAACGGTAGATTAATCTGAACCTTAGACAAAGTCTTCATAAAATCTGTCAATTGTTGATCTTTAACTTTAGGCTTCAACCGTTCGGGATAAGGCATAGGTGGTTCATAAACACGATCCTCAACAATAACCGCACCATCTTCGGAACTGTTCACTGTCTGTTCAGAATCCTTTGAATTGGCAGATTTTTCAACATTCCCCGAATCTGTTTTTGGCTGTGAAGTCACCCGCGAATTTTTTAAAGCAATTTTCATCCCTGTTATCAAAAACTTTTTCCGGAACGTAGAACTCTAACTGCCTTGCAATCTGCACCTCCCCTAGGATTTGGTTCGGTTTGACTGGGAAATGTACCTGGAGCCCTTCCAGAAACCTGCAACGCAATCTGCCCCATTTGTTTTTCCATGTTTTTCACTGATGCCTGCAGATTTTGAATTTCTTGAGTGGTAGTATTTGCCAATTTTTCAATCGCAACCTCCCAGGCAGCCTTAGGTGCAGCAGGTTGCTGTACCTGCTGTTGAAATTGAGGTCTAGTGTGCTGTTCCTTATCCCACCTTAGATTAGGATGATCTCTCCAACCTGGGTTGTAGAAATTAGAATATGGGTCATATCGGGGACGCTGGAAATTGTTAAATGCATTAACCTGCTCTGCTGTAAATTCTGGTGAAACCTCTTTATGTGGGCAGCTCATAAAATCGTGAGTTATCATGTTGCAAATGCTGCAGGCAGCTTGTAAAGGCTGCTGTACAGCAACTTGAGAACCTGGCATTCTCTGTAATAACATGTCAAATTTCGCGTCAAGCCTTTTCTCCATTTTTTCAATTTGTGCTGTAACATAGGGAGAACCAGTAGACATCTCAAAAGCTGACCTAGATTGTGGCTGCTCCACTGCCCACTGCTGAGTATCTTCTGCCATTTTTTCAAATAAACAACAAGCCTCTTGTGCATTTTTGTCTTTGTACGTACCTCTGCAAGAAGCGTTGACAAGAGTTTTTGTAGTCATATTCAACCCTCTGAAAAATATATGCATTTGATCAGTTGTGC